GCCGCGCCGCGCCGCGCCTCGGCAGCCTCCTCCGTGTTCCGCAGGATGGTCTTTGGTTTGCTCCCGGTCTGCTGGCTGTTTGGTCGATGGTCAGGTGTTGGGAGGGCTACATTCATCCGTTGTCCGCTGGTGCCTGGGCGGCCTCACTTGCTGCGCGGCTGCGAGGTGACTCCCTGAGGGTACTTCTGCTCCTGCTGCTTCACCTGCTGAACGATTTCCCTGATCTTGCGCTGTGCAGTCTGCAGCAAGCAAAGAGGATCAGGTGTGGGGGTGGGTGGGACACAGGTGGTCTCGCCTCCCCCAGCCACCACGGGGCCGCCTCCGCCCAGCACTGAGGGGCACAGGCCCCGCCCTCCCCCGGCCAGTCCACTGGGGAGAAGGCAGAAGCGAGACCCCAGCAGTGGGCTGCTCTTGGAGGGCAGAAGGCCAGGGCGCAGCAGAAGGAACCAAGAGGGGCCTTGCGGGGAACACAGCTCGGGGATCCTGCTGTGGCACCGTCTTCCACAACTGATTGTGACAGCTGGGAAGGAGGCACCCGGCCAAGGCCCCGCCCTGCCCTGCCCCGAGAGGGCTGTGCCCATGGCAGCCAGGGCTGCACCTGTGGGCCACAGGGAGCACAGGCTGAGTCCCCACCGGCTGGGGTCAAGGACAGAGGCAGTTCTCCTCCAAAACCCAACCAGTAAAAGCCTGGATAGAAGTGGACAGATCTGTGCCCGTGCCACACTGCTGCAGAGCAAGGTGGAGGCTGCGATGCGGGGAGCCCCTGAGATGCTGACCAGGAACTGGGAGGAAGTGGGAAGGAACCGGAAGTGGGAGAAATGGAGAGGATGTGGGATGGGAGCAAGTGGGGAGGAACAGGAAGTGCAGAGGAAGGGGGGGGCATGGGTAGGAATTAGGGAGGAAACCAGGGACCCTTGTGATGCACAAGGAACATGTTGAACAGAGGTCTTGGTACCAGGCCCATGGGAAGGCTGCCAGGCACGTGGCTGTCATGGGGCCTGGCAGGGGGCCTAGGCACATCGGGGGCTCCCTACACAGCCCTCATGCTGCTCCCCCACTTCCTTGTCTGAGGGCAGCAGTGGCACGAAGGATGGGGACAAGGTCCCCTGCACTCGGGCAGTCCCTGCAAGCCAGAAGGGAGGCTCTGCTGTGGATGTGGTTGTGTCCTGGGCTTGTGGCCACCCAGCTGCGGGGGGAGTGGAAGAGAGGAGCAGGCAGCCCTCCTGGCCCGCAGGTACCTGGCTAGCAAAGAAATGCCCGATAATTCTGACAATCACTTCCTCATTCTCGTCAGGCGTTTGGTCACGAGGCACAATGACTTCGGCGCTGGTCAGGTTCTGCAGTTCATTCACCTGCAAGGGAGGGGAGGCAGTGGGTGCAAGTGGGCTGGGTCCTGTACCCTGGCCAGCCAGGCCAGATCTGGAGAGCAACACTCTTCACTCCTGTGTCTAACACAGGCCTCAGACCTGGCCGTGCATGGGTCTGGACCCTGGGAGGGGCATGGGGACCAGAGGGCACCCAGCTGACTCCTCAGCTGTGGGACTGGTTTCCCTCAGAGGAGTGGGGGCACTCACAGCACCCTGGCCCCCAGTCAAGGCAAGAAGGCCCCAACACACTTAGGGTGTTGAGCAGAGGTGGACGACCTGGCTGGTAATGAGGTGCATGGTCCCTCCCTCCCCAGGCCAACTCCACCACTCCCCCGGGGTTTGGGCTCCTTCCCAGCCCCACTCACTCTGCTTCTTCCGGCCACCTCCTCCAGGGAGCCCCAGACCACAGTGGTCCTCCACTGCTGGCTGTCTCCTGCATTTGCGTCCGCCCCCACCTTCCCAAGGACACAGGCCCTTCCCAGGGGTCGTCTTTCTCCAGCCCTGGTGCCACAGACTTGGGGTCACCAAACACTCAAGAGTCTAGTTCTAAAATGCGCCAGCAAGCTGCGAGCGCTAGGATTCTCCTTGGCTGGATGGGTACGTTCTGCCTCCCTCCTGCAGCATCCAGGGATGCGACAGCTGTGTAGCCGCAGGTTTCTGCTTTCTTAGGGAAGGGTCTGCAGGGTGTTCAGGGTCTCACTACTAGATCCGACTTGTAGTGATCCGCCTGCGTACAGCCTCCCAAGAGCTGGGATTACAGGTATGTGCCACCACGCCCAGTCTCAATTTCTGTCTCTGCGCGCCCTGGGGGCGGGGCCAGCGTGGCAGGGCCAGGATCGAACCCCTGGCCCCTACATCTGCCTAAGCAGGTGCTTTAATCCACTGAGCTATTTGGCTGGCTCATTTTTTGTTTTGTTTTCTTTTTTCTTTTCTTTTTTTTTTTTTTTTATAAGCAGCGTGCTTCTGAGTGAACGTGACTCCCTGGATCCAGAGCATGGCTTTCAATTCTCTGAAATCACTTTACACAACCACACACACACACACTCAGGACTCCAGAACCCAACACCAAGTCCGGCCACTCGCCAGTGTGCCAGGCCATGTGTCCACTGAGGTTTGTGCATCCTTACAGGCCCAGGTCAACGGCCTGTGCTCTTCCCCTTTCACGTGGATGTGCTAGGCACGTGCCCAGCTCCAGGCTTTTCACCTCGTGTTGCATTACTGCCGCCTTTGGATCGAGGGTACAGATTATTTTTTAAGAGCCTCCCTTTCCTGCTCGGTGCATTCAAGGCCTGAGCCGGGGAGCACGGGATCCAGACTGCAGCCCTGCGTGGAGCCAGACACCTGCGCAGTCCTAGGCACGCAGCCAGGGGTTCTGGTCTTGGGCTGGGCACCCTGGAGCTGGACGCTGCTGCCCGCCGGGTGCCAGGAGACCCCGTCTGTCAGCCTCAGGCCGGGCTGTGCGTGAAGTGAGGAGAGATGGCGGTGGAGGGAACTCAGGCAAGGGCACAGAACTCAAGCAGGCGACAAGGCAAGCCTGCTGCCGACTTACGGTTTTGCCGCCTTTGCCAATCACCCGGCCAGCAGTCGAAGAGGGCACTCTGATGTGGGCTTCCAGCTTTACTTCTTCTTTGGGGTTAAAAAAGTTTTCTTCTTTCAGCTTCCCGAAGATCCGTCCCTGGGCCTAGGGAACACAAAGTGACCCGGGCCTGAGTCTGCTGCTGGACACAGGAGGGCCATGTGCCTCGCTCAGCTCACACCCTTGCAATAGGCTGGGACCTCAGTGGCTGCAGGGTGCTGGCTGCTGCCGCCTGCTTCCCTCCCCTGCTCAAGAGGCCGGCTGCCCCAGCTGCTCAGGGGAGCCGAGCTCCTCCTGCCATAGTCCGTCTGTTAAAGAATGAGATCAGGGTGCTGGGGGTGGGTGGGGTGCAGTCTGGGCTTGCTTCTCTGCTGGCGAGGGCCTTAAACTCAGGGCCTCAGAGGGACCAGACAAGGGCTCTGCTGTGTCTCCATCCTCCAATGAGGCCCATCACACCTCACTCCCAAGCCAATGCCACGAAGAGGCTATTTATTAACTTAAAATACTCCCCTCCTTCCTAGGGCTGACAACGTTCTAGCTGGCAGCCAGACCACGCCTCACGCGCTATGGTGGCTGCTGTTTTGGTCGTCCTGGAGTAGAATCGAGACCCCCTCTCCATGGAGCTGCATCCCAGCCTCCATCCCCAGCTTTTTTTTTCTCCTTGAGACAAGGTCTACTAAATCACTCAATAAGGCTCAATTCTGTGATCCTCTGGGCTCCTGCCTTCCAAGAATGCTGAGGTCCCAGGCCTGAACCAGGATCCTAGAGAAGCCTTGCTTTTGAATGGCTCCTGTGTTCACTTGATCTTTTCAGCTGAATGTGTTAAAAAATTTAATTAAAAGAGGTATATGTTCATTAATTAGTATGTCTCTGGGTTTCTGAAAGCTCATTTTGCAAGAGAAGGAAAAGGCAAGAAAACGAAACTTAACGATGCATCTCAATGCATCTCGAGGCTTCTTCTGAAGCCCACTGCAGCTGAGGAGGACAGGCCAGGCTCCGCCTGAGCCAGCCTGCCCATTCCTCTGTGCCACCCGGCACTGACCTTGAACTGGGCTTCAGGTGGCCCAGTGATGATGACCATCCGCTCACTGACGTCTGGGCTTTCAGCTGGGGCAATCTGCAGGTCACAAGGAAAGAGGACAATGCTGACACCGTGCCCCTCTTGTTCACCTGAGTACATGACACGCACGTCATCTCCAGGGCTGCCTTCCCCCACTCCCACCTTACAAAGTTTCAACCACAGTGCTCAGCCCTGAATTTACATCTTCAGCCACCCCAGGAGGAGGGTGGGATGGCTCAGTGGTTACTGCTGTCCCTGCCCCAGGCACCCACAGCAGAACTGGCCTCCTTTCACCCAGCGAAGCCATGGCAAAGAACAGGAAGTCAGGCGCTGCAGGGAAGGGCTGCAGCTCTGCCACCCGTAGGACCCAGAAGCCCTTGCTCCTGCAGTTCTGGGGCAGAGGTCTGCAAGGCTCTCTTTGTAGGAATGAAGTCGAGCAGGTCAGGAGGTTCACCTCCTCTGGGCAAGGAATCTAATCGGCAGTCCCTGTGACTCCCCTGCGAAGGGCCCAGGATGCAGCTGGCAAGCTTGGAACAAACAACAGACCCAGCAAGGACTTTTTGTGAGAGGTCCTGTTGTATTTTTTTAAAAAATTAATTCTCTGACGTATTCTAAAGGATGTTATTTATTTATTTTGCTCCGAATGCCTTCAGGGCAGGTTTGGCTGGCTTGAGTTGTGGGGATCGAACCACAGCAACCTGAGCCTGACAGCTTTGTTGAGGCAGCCACTTAAAGAACTGAGCTAATGGGCAGGCCCCCAAAAGGATGTAATTTTAAAAAACAAACAAAAATCAAGCCAGGTACAGTGGTACTCACTTAAGGGAGGTTGAGGCAGGGGCCCAAGAGTCTGGGACCGGCCATTCAATATAACAGGAAATAGAAAATTGAAATAAATAAAAAGCTAAAGCCAATCAGCAAATTGTAAAAAAGTCAGACTTAATCAAAAATCAGAAGTATACGGCATTTGGGAAGATGAGGAGAAGCCAGGAAAGGGGTTAGGTTGGACACTCTGCACCTCACAAGGCGTCTTGGTGGGGACACAGTGTCACTTCTAAGGTGTTTTTGCTTCTGCAGTACCAAGATTGAACCCAGGATCTCTGCACTGAGCTATTCCCAGATTGTTTTTTTTTTTTTTTTCCTAGAACCGGGGATTTAACTCAAGCCCTTGCGCTTGCCAGGTAAATACTTATTCCACTAAGCCATCTCCCCGGCCCTATTCCCAGACTTTAATTTATTTTTCTGTATTTAGGGCCTACAGGGTCTCACTATGGAGACTGGACTCGTAGTGATTCTCCTGTTTTCAGCCCCCCCAAGTGCTGTGGGATTACAGGCACGCGCCACCATGCCCAGTCTCCATCACTGTCTCAGCGCGCCCTGGGGTTGAGGCTGGAACAGCACGCTGGGGATCGAACCCTGGCTGCTGTGCTCTGCCTAATCATCAGACTTTTTATTATACATCTTGAGATAAACTGGGATTGAGCCTTGGATGCTCCTGCCTCAGCCTCCCAGAGCTCTGAGATTATAGGCATGTATTACCCTCCCCAGCTGTACTTGTCAGCTTCTGAGAGCAAATATAAAAAAGGAAATGTCATTCACAGAGTTCCCAAAGACAAACAGGAGATCCCGTTTCTGAGACAGCCTGGAGCCAGAGCTCTGCTGGGGAAGAACTGGGATTCTACTCATGATGTGCACGTGGCTCTGGCGATGGCGCCCCAGCCTTGCTGGGAGTGAGAAGCCGGAAGCCGGAAACCAGAAGCCTCCATCTGCGCCATTTTTGCATCATCCTCCCAAAACTCGCATTCCAAGGTGGGAGGCTCCACCCAGGCCTCGGAGTCCTGGCTCTCCTGGGAAATCGCCCCAAGGCTGTGCTGCCCCTGGCCTGCTCTGCAAGGAGGGGCCTCGACCAGGTCTTTGGTGAGCTCTGGCGTGATGACCATGAGGATGAACGAGCGCGGGGCATGGTGCTCCACGAGGAGTCAGCTTCTCGAGGGTCCACCCCCCACCACGGGCAGCCATGTCCAGGCTGAGGCCTCCGCAATCCCGGGGCTCGGAGACCTGGCTCCTACCACCCGAACCATCTACCTCCTAGCGCGCCCGAGCCGTGGGGCGGCGTTGCAGGAACGGGAAGGCCCGCGGTGCCCACAGGACCCAGTGATGCGCAGTGACTTCCAAGCTCATGGCAACCTGGGTCCAAGAGGACTGGGAACAGGGAGGCCCCAGCCAACACCATCAGCTGAGCTTCCCGTGGAATTCGCTGACCACAGGAAAGGTGGGTGACGTGAGCCCAGCCCCCACAGCCTGTGCCCTTGGATCTGTGCTCCGAAGACCAGCAAAGCAGAAGCCTGGTCTCTGGAGTCAGTGGGGTCCCCACTCCGCCTGGCTGCCGAGATGACAGAAATCCAGCAAAGAACAAATGGGAAATCAAAAGGCAGATTTCTTTCCCCAACACTTTGCTGTTTTTCTTCCCTGCTTTTCAACGCTGCCCAGCAGGCACAGATGGGGCAGAAGGCGGTAGGCCCAGCACTAGGCATGGCGGGCCAGCCACGCCTGCTGCAGCCCTTCTATCAGAGGCCAGGAGCACAGAGATCACTCACTGACCCCGCTGGCATGAAGGGTGGTAAAACACTGTGGGTGCAGCCCAGGCACCCATACTTTTTCCCCAATTTCCTAAAGGCCTTGCTGGGAGCAGCTCTGTGGAGCGCCTAAAGGAGAAACTGGCCCAAGAGGTGGAGCATCCAGGCGCTGCAGCTCTGCACCCTCGGTCGAGTCCACGGCCCTGGCCCAGCTGGCAAGCAGCATGCATGGCCAGCGAGGGCTGCGGCTGGCCCTGGGAGGTGCTCACTGTCCTGGCAAATTTTACTTCTCAAGCCAGTGCGGCTGCTTAGGCACCCTGACCTCATCCTTGCACTGTGTCTGGCTTCTCAGCTGAGCAGAAGGGAACCCAGTGAGATTCCTCAGACCCCCACAGCAGAAAAAGTCTCCTCCTGGTTCCTGCCTGCCCCTCGGGTAGGGGCTGAGTGGTGGGTGAGCCCCTAGTGCAGAGCCAGCCCTGTTTTCATGCTCCACGCTCCACCGCAGGGACCGAGTGTGCCCTGCCTGGGCCAGGATCCCACCTGCGCAGGCCCCAGGTGTAGCTCCCAGGACCCCAATGTCTCCCCACTTCCGGGATCTCATTCAGTTTGTAACCAACTCCAGGGGAGGTAAATGAGGTCTTAGAGAAAATGATTTCCCAAGATGACATTCTTTGGCCATCTCACTGCAATCCTTATTCTGTACAACGCAGAAGGTTTTGTTTTTGTTTTGTTTTCTCTCTCTCTCTGCAGCACACTTGCTGTGGGAGAGATTCCAACTCTTCTTGGGCACAGAGTGGAAGCATTCTTTCTCTCCAAGTCATGAGACTTCTTGATCGGAATTCCGGGTTGTCTCACGGTAGCAGATTATTTTCCGTAACAACAGAAACTCTTTTTCCGAAAGTCTAGGACGTGCTCAGCATGCCGTGTGAGTCAGTGCTGATAGCTGCTGGGTGGTGGGACTGGCCGGGTGACCCCTTCAGCTGCTGGAGGTGGCAATGGAGCAGTGGATATGGGGCTGTCACTGGGGCCACAGAGGCACTCACCCCTGGCCCCCAACGCAGCGGCTGCTTCCTGGACCACCAGCTTTTGTCTACACACAATTTGATCATCACTCTTCAGAGTTCAGCATTCAAATCCTTTCTCCACATTTTGGTGGTCACGTAAGCGCAGAGTAAGGAAGGTACCAGAGGTGGCCAAGTGCCAATGCCTGAGGCCCACAGCCCTGGAGCCCCCAAAACAGTACCAACTTTTTGCTGAATTAAGAGAAAAGAGAAATGAAGAGAAGCGAAGCTATCTGAAGGGGACTGTGGACCTGGCTGGGCGGCTGCTCAGGTTTTTTCTAGCTCAGCTGTTCGTTGGACAGAAAAGGAATCCGTCAAGGAAGCCAAAAGCAGATGGGAGCAGGCCTAAGCAGCGGGCAGTAGTCCCACAAGAGGAGTGACTTCCCGACATAACGTTCTTTCACCATCTCACTGCAATCCTTATTCTGTACCACTCAGGCTCCCAGATCTGCACATTCTGTCTGGATGCTGCCTGGGACCAGCAGGAGGAGACACGGGGCACAGGGGCTGGCAGGAGCCGCCTTACCTTGATGGAGGCCCCCGCAAACCGTGCCAGCTGTTTGATGTGCGCCCCTTTCTTCCCGATGATGGCGCCCACGGCCTGGGTCGGGATGAAGAGATTCACAATCTCCTGTTCCGGGTACTGGAAAGGCAGTCAAGATAGGCGACGTCATTATAGCAGGGCCACCTCTCAGGCCTCAGCCGCCCCACAACATTCTGGGAGCCCAAGCGGGGTGGGGGGGTGGGGGGGAGAACAGCAAGATGCACCCTTATGTGGAGGGAGCTGGAGTGAACCTGCACACGGCGGGACTCGAGGCTCTGGCAGAGGGAAGGGAAAGTGCCCAGCCCCGAGAGCGTGACAGCGCCCAGGACGCGGCCAGCCACCCGCCCCGGACCCCGTGGGCGCAGAGAAGGCTCCGGGGCAAGGCTGCCAGCGTCCTGGCTCTAGGCGGCTGTGGGCGAGCCACGCCCCCTTAAGGGCTTTGTTCAGACCTCAGAGACCACAGGGCTGGGGCGGGGGTAAGGGGCACTCACAGAGTGATGATGCGGGAACGGCCCGAACTGGTGGTGGGGGTACAGGCTGGAGAAGTATCCGGAGTGGGTCTGCAGCGGAACAAAGCGACGGGTCCTGAGTAGCTGCCCTGCTGGACCACCCAATGCTACTCTCGTGTCCCCACACCCGTCCCTTTGCGTCTCAGATTTCTGTTCCCCTTGGACTGCTGAAAACTTAGCAAGGTGTCACCCAATCACAGTAACCCTCTGGGCTGAGGCCACACTTTAGGCTATCTAAGAACTGAGCTTGGACTGGCGTCTGGGAAGCCATGAACGGGGGCCAGAGGGCGGGGACAGCCTCTACGGGCTGTCAGGAGCCAGCACACCACTGAGCTCCATCAGAACTACAGAGGGGTCACGGAGACTGGAGAAACTGAAAGGGAATGAGAGGAAGAGAAAGAAGGACGCACTGTTTGCCAACACGGAATGAGGAAGCAGCAAACGCAGGGCAAACGGGCAGAAGAGAGGAGTTAGTGGGGAAGTGCTGAGTGTAAGGAGCAGCCGCTCGGTAACTGGATCCATACCGCATCAGGTACTAAGATGTATTTTGTTTCAGTTCTTTTAATCCTCCCTATCATACTGCAAGACAGTAATGTCTGATTTTCTATATTCTTATATGTGGGATTGGCCAGAGTCCCCCAAAGTCTAGTTAGCTGCTTTATACATGAGCACACTAGTACTCGTCTGGCCCATTTGGAAAAAGGCTGTAGTGCTGAATCATTCTCACAAGAGGGCGCTCCAAGACCAGTGGTTTCAGGGCCACCTGAAGCTGGCAGCCACGTGAGCAAAGAGGTTGACCTCCAGGTCCAAACTTGAGGGCTCCTTGGGTCACTCATGGGCCCCAGACCCTTCTCTGTCCAGGTCCCTGTGCTGAGGCAGGAAGGCAGGAGGAAAGGTCCTGCAGCCTTTCTGCTCCAACTTCTGACCTGGGCCCAGGGCGCTTTTGCCCACCTATCGCCTGCAGCCCTGTCCATGGGATCTCAGGGCAGAGGCAACCCCCTCCACGCTTGTGTGGAACCAGGAACGGCCTGGCTCCTACCCTGGCCCACATGTTAGTCCTAACACGAACACAACCACATTTAGACCTAGCAACCGTAGAGGGGTAAGAAAGACAAACTCGCCTTTCTTCACGCATCACAGTTGCAAGACTGTCAGGAAGAAGGAACCCCAAGTCATCTCGCTGTGAGCAGAGGCCGTCATTAGCCTGTGCACACGCTCATGGGTCTGACTCTCCAGCTCTCTGGGTTGGGATGACTTAGCAAACCCTTCTGTCCTGTCCGCATATGGAGTACAGCAACCTCTAGTGCTCACAGTACCACTGTGAGCATTCCCTCGGCCAGTGAAGCACTCACTGCAAAGCTCGAGGTGCCCCCATGTGGGATGCAGAGTTCCAGGTGCTGGGGATAGAGTTGTTAGGGCAGAAACTGCCATGAGGGGATTCAGGGATCACAGGAAGCAGGTACAGAAGGTGACTCCAGAGAAGCACTATGACAGAAACAAAGAGGATGCGACGAGTAGTGGCAGCTGAGGTATGCAGGGCTGGGGTGGCAGCCCCAGCTGTAGTGACCGGTGTCAGAGAGCTGCGGAGAGCTGCACAGAGGTTCAGAGGTCCCAAGCTGGGACCAGACGCCTGAGGAACCCCAACCCCCAGTGCAGGAAAAGGCAACTCTAGGAAAGGGGCCCAGGGTCCACCCACCCACTGCCCAACAGGCCGTGCTGAGGTCAGCAACATCCAGGGGTCAACGTCCAGCTTCCGTGCCTCCTCTGAGTCAGACTCTGCCAGGACCGCGTGGGGAGGAGGCCACCTCATCTGCGTACCCTCAGCCCCAGCCATGCCCTTCTGGGAGAATCACAGCATGGGAGCTAAGTGCGACAGCAGCCAACCCATGACGGAGGGGGAAACGGGTGTGAAGAGTAACAGAGAAGGGGCAGGAGACATCCAGGACCAGGGCTGGCGATACTTCCCGGCAGGCCCGTCCCCTGGTGTGCTAAACCTGGTCAGAGCACAGGTGCAGCGCCATGGACTCAACTGGGAAGGAGCACGGTCTCACCCTAGACTGCAGAAATGTCTCTGTCCATGGTAGCTGTGTACCATCTGTGGGCTCTCTGGGATCTACCAGAGGGCTGGTGGGACCCAGAAACTGGTAGGCTCCCTGGAACACAGATCTCTGTGCCTGACCCTGCAGCCCAAGAACTTAATCCAACACCTGACGCTGCACCCACTGGAACAGAGGTTGCCGGTGTGCACGGCGCCTTGGAGCAGGTTGTGGAAGGGGCCCTGAAGGTCCAGTAAGCGCGTGCCGCTGGGCTTAAGGAATGAATGGGCGATTCAAACGTACTGGACTTGGACAGCCAGCCACGCGCAGACGGAGTGAAGTGCAGCAAGCCGGGTGAGCAGCCCCCACGCATTCAGGGACAGGGAAGGGCTCTGCAGAAAGTTCTGCTTCTCTCCCTTCCCTTCCCCTCTCCTTTCTTTCTCTTTTGTCTTTTTTGAGACAGTCTCATTTTACAGTTCAGGCTGGCCCCACACTGGCAGGGAGCCTCCTGCCCCAGCCTGCCCTGTGCTGGGATCACAGGCATGTGCCACCACGCCGGCCCAGGAAGTTCTGTTGGTTTCCTAGTGAGATTCAAGAGGTCAGTGCCAAAGTAAAACATGAACAGGCTACGAGCAAAGAGCAGCAGAGAGCTGCAGGGCAGACTTGCTAAGCAAAAACTCCATGGAGGGAGGCATCAGACACAGAACCCTGCAGAGGAGAGATAAGTGGACCTTGGGGGGTGGGGGGGCGACACTGAAATTAGTTACAGCACAGAGGGAAGGAAAGGACTTCCCTGAGCCAAAGACTTTAAACCTTCAAAGTGCCCGCTCATGGGGCCAAGCCAGATAGCGTGGCGGACTAAAGCGCCTGCCTAGGCAGAGCGCGGCAGCTGGGGCTCCATCCCCAGCGTGCTGTGCCAGCCCCACCCGGGGGCGATTGAGATGGGGCGCGGGGGTGGGCGCCTGTAATCCCAGCGCTTGAGAGGCTGCAAACAGGAGAATCGCTAGAGTCCAGTCTACACAGTGAGACCCTGCCGACCCTGTAATGAATACATTAAAAGTGCTCACATTCAGATTTCTGAATTCCAAAGAGTGGAGGGAAAAGACTGTAAGCCAAACACTTACAGACAAGAGAAAGCAGATCTACGAAAGGAAGAGAATCGGGCCCAGAGCACATTTCTCTGGATGACAACGCTGGAAGTCGCTTTCAGAATTCCAGGGGAAGGAAGGATGACCCAAGCCTGAACTTTCATATATGTTAAGGAGTCAGACTCGTAACAGAAATTAGAAATTACATCACTGAAGCACTACTTCCTGTAAAATGCTGTTTGAGGAACTATTCCAGCCTAACACCAAAGCCCAAATACATAACTTAAGTAGGGGAACCAGGGACACAAGTAATAAATAATCCATAATGAGCAAAGAGTAAAAGCTCAGTCAACTCTCACTGTGGATTATGAGATGATATATTAAGAAAGTTTAGTAATTTGTATTAACATTGCAGATTATTTCTAGAACATTTAAAGAATCTGTTAAGAGAATTTGACAAAATCATAATCAGAGAACTAGAAACTGCTCTCACAACTTAATAAATCACAGAGATGAAATTATAATCCGACATGGTGGTGCACACCTATAATTCCAGCACTTCAGAGGCTGAGGAAGGAGGACTGTTCCAAGTTCAAGACCAGTCTGGACTATATGGCACAGTGAGCTCAAGACCTGCCTGAATTACAGAGCAGAGATCCTATCTCAAAAACAAACAACCCCCGCAGAGCTTACGAATCCAACCACCTGATAAAGTGTGGTCTCATGGCTGTCGGCACCACTCTGAGCCCATTAGAGAAAGCCCTTCTTTCCAAGTGGCCAGTACTCCCAAAACTTGGTCATGCACTAGGCAAGCGCACAATCAGAAATACTGTATTACTTGAGTAGAGAAGAATACAGGGGATTAGGGCAGAATGCCACCCACGTATAATCCCAGCTACTGGGAGCGGGCTGGGACGCAGGCAGAAGGACCACAAGTGAAGAGCAGCTGGGCACCTCGGGCACTTGCCTCGCACGCTGAGACTGCTGGGCTCTGTACCCGGGAGGGGGGTGGTGAAGGTGGGGATCAGTACTGCAAGATAACAAAAAGGAAACCCTTTACTTAGAAATTCTCAAAGCAAATATATGATGTTAGGAATTAAGACACAACCAAGTTAGAGATGTAAGAGGTTTTGTATAACTTTATGCCCGTATGTATGTATGTATGTATGTATGTATCTATCTATCTATCTATCTATCTATCTATCTATCTATCAATTTTTTGTTTGGTTTTTCCTTTTTTGAGATAGGGTCTTGAATTCAATTATGCTGGCCTTGAACTCTCAGTTTCCCAAGAGCTGGGATTACAGGTGTACAACACCATGCCCTGGCTACGTTAATCTCTATATAGATCTATATGTAGCTACAGATATATATGAAGTTGATTTTTTTCTTTTTCGGGGGTGGTGCTCAGGATCAAATTTAAAGGCTTACAATATTAAGCAAACACTCTGCCACTGAGCTCTGAAATACACAGTTTTACAGGAAACTGTAAACCAATAAAGCAAGTGAAAAACGTAGGAGAAACTGAAAGGCTACATAAAGATCCTCCTCCAAAGCTGCCAGGTCCAGCTGCTTTACAGCTGGGATTTATCAAGTCTTAAAGGTACAGAGAACTCCTATTTTCTCCAATGTAGAAAAACTGGATAGCTTCCCAACTCACCCTGAGAGAGAAGAAATCCAAAATCCAAGTTTGCAGCTAAAATCACCAGAGATGGCAAAGACTCCTGCTTACTGCTGTATAGACAGAGGCGGCCAGAATGCTGCAGAGTCCAGAAAGAAGACTGCGGGGGAGTGTCCTGTGCACCAGGGCTGGTGTTTTCAAGTTGAGCAGGATGGCAGATTACTCCATACGGGACTTTGGGGTAACGGGGAATTCGTCAGGAAAAAACCAGAACTTTATCTCAAAAGTGCTACTCAAGATAAACATATTGGGGCTGGTGAGATGGCTCAGTGGTCTAAAGCACCTACTTAGAACAAGCTTAGCAAAGCACAGGGACCTCGGTTCAATCCCCCAGCACCACATGCCAGCCAGCCCCGCCCCCTGGTGGGCTGAGCTGGCCACACACACACACACACACACACACACACACACACATAAATAAAATTAAAAAAAAAAACATAAACATATTATAAATTACAGACAGGAGCTCCCCAGAGTAATTAAAAATTAATATAAAGAAAAAGCAGGATATTTTTAGTTTTGGGTGGGAGAAAGTTTTTTCCTTAGTATGACAAAAGCAGACAAAAAGACGTTTTAAAAAAATGATTCAATCACCTTAATTCTTAAAATTTTGGTATTTTGTTAAAAGAAAAATTTGTGAATACTTAACATTCATATACCCTTTAATGTGGAAATTCTGGTTTTTCTTTTTTTTCCATTTATGCATTTGGTGCAGGATCTCACTAGGCAGCTTGAACCTGTAGTGATCCTCTTGTTTTCAGTCTCCCCAGTGCTGGGATTACAGGCGTACGCCACCAAGCCTACATCACTGTACTGAACCCTGATTCCTGTGCTTACCATAGCAGGCGCTTAGTCTGCTGAGCTATCTTCCCAGCCCGGAAATTCTAGTTTTAAGAGATCTGACTTTCATAAATAACACACTACTTGTGCAAAGATGTGTGAAGGGTTTTTGTTTGTTTGGGTTTTTTTTTGGTGGAACTGGGGATTGAACTCAGGCCCTTGCACTTGCCTGAAAGTGCTTATTCTACTGAGCCACCTCCCTGGCCCCTAAGGGTACTCATTTTGACACTACTTGTAACAGGGAGAACCTAAGATCAACCAAAATGTCCAAATGCAGGGTGCTAATAAAATTATGATGAATTCCTGCAATGGAATAAATAGTATGTACTCATTAAAGAAATTACGTCTAGTTGATGGAAGATAATCAGAGTAAGATTATGAGGTTACAAGCCAAAACAAAAGTATCCTTGAAATTCACAGTGCACAGTGCCATCCCACCTGTATTTGCAGTCAATGAATAATGTAACCCCATCATGCAGTCCTGTGCTGAGCAAACAGCTTTTCAAATTTGTAAACATAACGGTGCTGTACTTCCAGGGACATAAAAGGAAGACTAAAGAACATTTTAAAGTCTCACTTCATGGAAGTTTATTCCTTCACTATAATACATATGCTTTATGTTATGCGGCACAAGACATCAAAGCAAAGCAGAAGAAATGAGAAGCTGGTGGAGAGTACTCATGCAGGACCAGTGGGAGCGGCCCTCGCCACACCTGTGATGCAGGGGGTGCCATCTCCATCTTCCAGGTGGACACTGACCTCACACAGGTGAGGTCACTGCCTACAGGTAAAAGTAGCACGTGATGGTGCTGGGACTAAGAGATGGGAAGCCTGGTCCAGAACCTGAGGTATTCTGGTACAGATTAATGGGCAAGGAATATTGAAAGTCAATTTACTAAGGAAAAAAAAATTATTAGAGAGAAAAGTGGCCAGGAACTCCAAAATGGTTTGATCTTATGATAAAACAGTTTGATTTGGTAGTGAAGGCCTGGGAGCTAAAGTCCGGCTCTGCAGGGTCTCGCTATGCAGTTCAGGCCGGCCTTGAGCTCACTTTGTAGCCCAGGCTGGTTTCTTCACACACAACGATCCTCCTGCCTCAGCCTCCTGAGGGCTGAGATTACAGGCGTGCGCCACCATACACAGCTTGTCACATACTCTTGCACATGTGGGGAGGTGGGGAGGGGGTACTTCCTTGGGCCTGAATCCAAGGAGCACTGAGCCACGTCCCTACTCTTATTCCTCCTTCTTCATTTTGAGGCAAGGTTTCTCTAAATTGCCCAGGTAATCCTCCTGCTTCGGCCAATACATCACATGTACTAAAATTTACATACTAGGTATCAATTTATAAAATTTACATGTTCTTTGACTTGGCAATTCTATTTCCAGGAACTTACTCTGGGGCTATAACTGGCTAAGCGAGTGAAGATGGACATAAGCAAGGACTTCTGTAAGGTCAACCTTCGGGCTGTGACTGTCACACGTAAGTATGTTATCTGTGTTCATGTACCCATGGACAGAGAAACACTACCTCTAGGAAAAAACCTGCACTTTACATTGTTGCATTATTTGCTTCTTAAAGACTAGGTAGGCATGCATCACTTCTATAAGCAGAGCCAGGACTCAGTGACATCTGCATGTGTGTATATATTTACTTGCAGAGTTCAATGCCTGCTCTTGGGGCGTGACACGCTTAGAGCAAAGCAGCAGCTCTGTGCTGTACACTCGCTGGTTCCTTGAAGTCTGATTCCAATGTGACAAGACACAGCTGCGCTGGCCTCTCACAGGTGACCTGTCCCCACAGTGCTGCACACCGCAACTCCACACAGAGCAGGGGCTGCACAGAGCGGACCCGCGGAAGCCATGGTGTGAGTCCTGTGCACCCCAATTAGACTCTCATGTAGAGCCACCGAAGATCAGGATGCCGTGGCTTTTAGTTGAAAATGAAACCTTACTTAAAACCCATTTTATAAAGGATATGAATTCTGTAGTTTAGTAATACGGTTAGTTTAGTGTTTTAGAGAAAATAGCAAATGTGAAAAAGCTTTCTGACCGGCAAAACCTATTTCTAAGCTCATAAAACACTATGCTATCACATGAAAGTTTCCCTTATTTGAGTTCAGGAGCCAGCAAACTTTTTCTGTACAAGCCAAAGAGTAAGTATTTTAGGCTCTGCAGGTTGCGTCGCACTGACTAACTCCCCCACTGAAGTGGGGAAGCAGCAACGACTAACACAGAAACAAAGAGTAGTCACTATGTCCCTGGCAAACTTTTTCAAAAATTTTCACCCAGGCCAAAGCCTGTGTAGATGACCAGTGTGAGAAGTGACCTCCTTTTCTGCGTTTGGTGCCAGACATAACCACCCAGGCCCACTGGGCGGTGCCCAAGTCCCCGCTGGGCTGTCTTAGTGGGCCTTTCTCCTCCAGGACTTCTACCACAGTAACTGGGTCACTAGCTCATGGCAAAGGTACGGGGCCCTGCACCTCTTAAGACCACTCTCCCTTCGTGAAGCCATGCGGCTGTGCCAGCTGCCACCACCCCTCCTACCACCCCATTAGGCTCCTCTACCACAGATCCACAGGAGTGTGGTGTGGGACACCACCACGCAGCTCAAGGAAAAACAGGTCCAACTGAGGAGAGGGACAGGGTGGTCCAGAAAGGCCCCTGAAGGTCAGCAGCTGAGCAAGGCCACAGATGGGCGAGTGCGTGTGACCCGGGACATGGGCACCAGCAGCACAAGGCCTGGAGGTCCAGACAGCTCCTGGAGCCCACAGGGCAATGCCGACACCGCAGACCCCACCTGGAGGCGAGCAACAGTCTAAGGGGATGCACACCTGCCTGCCCAATTCTTCCCGTTGAAGCAGCATAAGCACGGGGGTGGGGGAGTAAGGAACGAGAGCAGAGACGAACGGGGAATGAAAAAGGGAGCTGCCCAGCAGCCCAAGGCCCACTCTGGCAGCGTACTGATCTCGAACACTGCTCGAGAATGAGGGCAACAGATGGGAAGCATGCCAGGCACATTTCTTCTGCTGTGAATATCTCAACAATAAAGAGGTACTGAGAACCAACTAAATACCAGGCTCGGGGCTGTTTAGACACAAACGCTATCATAATTTCTTTTCAAAACTGCCTAAGGGCTGGCCTGATAGCTCAGCAGATTAAAGCGCCTGTTTAGGCACAGTGCAGTGGCCAGGGCTCAATCCCCTGTGTGCTGTGCCGGTCCCACCCCCGGGGCACACAGACAGCAACTGAGACTGGGTATGGTGGTGCTCGCATACAATCCCAGTGCTAGGGAGGCCAAAAACAGGAGAATCACTGTGAGTCTGATCTATGTAGTGAGACCTTGTAGACCCTGCCCTAAGTACAGAAAACAAACAGCAGGGAGACCCTGAACGCCCTGCAGATCCTTCCCTAAAATACAAAAAATAAATAATAAAAAGTGAAAATGTACAGCAATTAATCTTAAGAACAAAAAGCAAACGAACAAACAAAAAACCTGGCTATTAATATATACTGCATTTGAATTATAGACATATGGAAGAAATATATATATATATTTTAAGAATCATTCGGGTGCCCTAGTTAATAAATTATAAAGGCTCATGAAGTTAGCTAAAATCCTTTTTCAGATTTTTTTTTCTTTCTTTTTTGGGTCTCCAGGGTCTCACTACAAAGATCAGACTCGTAGTGATCCTCCTATTTTCAGCCTCCCAAGCGCTGGGATTACAGGCGCACGCCAAGACGCCTGGTCTCAGTCCCTGTCTCAGCGCACCCCAGAGGTGGGGCCAGCATGCTGGGGATCACACCCCGGTCCCTGTGCCTACCTGAGCAGGTGCTTTAGTCTGCTGAGCTATCTGGCTGGCCCTTCTGTTTCAGATATTAAAGGCTTCTAGCTAACAAATCTGCTAGGTTTTTCTTTTTCTTCTTCTGCATTTAGAACAGGGCCTACAGAATCTCACTACCGTAGATCAGACTCATAGTGATCCTCCTGTTTTCAGCCTCCCAAGCCCTGGGATTACAGGCGCGCACCACACCACGATGCCGGGTCTCAGTCCCTGTCTCAGAGTGCCCCGGGGGTGGGGCTGGCATGTCACCCAGGAAACCCCTGGCACTTGCACTCTGCCTACGAAGGCACTTTAGTCCCCTGAGCTATTAGGCCGGCCCAAAGATTTTCTTTCACAGACAGGACATACACTGTGCATAAGGGTTCGTGCCTTGAGGGTGGTGTGCTAGCCACCTGCCTTTGAGTATGTTCTGAGAGGTGCATCCTGCAACCAGCCTATCAGGACAGCCTCGGAGTGAGAGCTGGCTGAGCAGGGGTGCTGCCCGGAGGTGCCCAGCAGCTACTTACAGTGAAGGGATGGTAGGGGGCGGAGGGGGGAGCCCCTCGGGGCCCCGCTGGAGGAGGCAGCACCGACAGTCCTGTTGAAAAGATGCCAAGTGCACTGAGGTTCAGCCCTGGTATCAGATTGGCTTGTTGCTGGGAACAGAAAGAAAGAAAGCAGATAAGGGGAAGGGAGCAGGGAGGCCCCACGGGGCAGTTATACTCCCTCTCCCGGCTGGGGTTCCAGCACCTTCCCCCTCCCCCGCCGGCTGTGCCCCAGCCTGGGGACCTTTCCACCATGCATGGGAGGTGGATGCCTGGCCCCAGCCTGACCACAGCATCCCATAGCCTTGGTGACACCCACATATCTTAAGAAAAGGAGGGCTTCTTGGGGACCCCTCTTTCCTGCGAGTCTCTCTCCTGCTCAGACTGGTTCCCTTGAGCCCCATCTTCCCTCTCCCTCTCTCTCTCTTGGAGTCTCCCCCAAGAACTTCTCTCCCACCTTACACAGCTAGGTCCTCTCCCTGGTCCTGCACATGAAGCTTTTTCTCCCCTTAAGGTCTTAGCCCAGAGACACTGTCTGAGCTCACTTTAACCCGCCTTAGGGCTGGCCAGATAGCTCAGCGCACTCAAGTGCCTGCTCAGGCAGAGCGCAGCACCCCCCGGGCGTGCTGAGAAGGTGACTGAGACTAGGCATGAAGGCACATGCCTACAATCCCAGCTCTTGGAGGGCTGAAAACAGGAGAATCCACTATGAGTCCCTTCTACATAGTGTGACCCAGTAAAACCTCCACTAAATGCCAAAAAAAAAAAAAAAAAAAATTTAACCCGCCTGTCTTTAAAGCAGGCCTCATCGCACGGGGTCTCCCTGAGCTGTTTAATCCCGTCTTCCCCTTCAGACCACAATCTCCTTGAGGACAGGGGCTGTTTTACTTAGTGTTGCGGTCTCAGTGCCTGGCACGCAGAAAGCCCTCGAGGAATATTCATTAAAGGATACAGTGAACTTTGTTCTCTTGGTCATGCAGCTTCCGGCTTCGTGGGCATCATGCCGGCTTATTCCACACTTAGATCTGGGGGTGCTCCAGGGAGCGAAATGAGTCCCAGCTACACAGCCCTCCACAGGCACAAGGAGCAGCAGCCCGTCTGGCCGTCAACAGGAAGCAGTTTCCTAGCAGGCCCTACTTCATCCTCTGCGGCCACAGCCTCCCACCACTCACTCGCCTTTGGTGTGTGCTGGGAACGTGCGTGCTGGAGCAGCAGACCTGGGATCTCTCGCCCTTCTCACCTGCCGGGTGAGACCTGGTCATGCTGCCGCTGCAATTCACCTGTCCGAGCACAGCTCTGGCACAGATACGAATGAGTACGTGCCACGCTCAGGTAATGCCATCTAGAGCACGCAGGCCCTGTGAGGTGTTTCCAGGTGTGCAGGAAACAGCTTTCTATAAGATGTCAAGAGGCCAAAGAAAGCAGCTGAGCTGGCCTGGTGGTGCGCACCTGTAAGCCCAGCGCTCCAGAAGCCAAGGCAGGAGGATCATTAGTGTGAGGCCAGCCTGGGCTTCACGCTGAGTTCAAGCTTAGCGAGGGCTACTAAGCAGCGAGACCCTGCCCCTGCCCTAGAAGTATGACTGAACGCAGCGAGACGGTCACACAGTTGTCTCCTCCTCCTCCACCTCTCCTCACCCTGTCCTGTGACATGGCCTGATACGAGATGTTGCAGTGGGGACTGAGGTGATGCAGGGGACAGAGTACTGAGGACGGTTAAGGACCCTGGCAGGATAGCAGGGAGGCAGCGGGCTAAAGGTTTGGGGGCACAGCAGCCCACAGGTGGGTACCTAAAGGGGCTCATCAGAGCACCTGTTCCAAGAAATTATGAGAAGTATATGGAGCCTGGCTTTGCTGAGGAGCAATTGGTTTTAAGATTATTCTGAAGACAGACTGGTGTCTCCCCCATCATAAAGTGGGGACTGGGTAGGAACAACAGGAAGGACAAACCTAAACTGGCCTGCGAGGAGGACTAGGGAGCACTTAAGGGGTGACAGCATTTACTAGGGGATCTGAAAGTGCAGACCAGCAAGTAAGAGATCTGAATTAGAAGTTAATTTTACTTTATCTTTTTGGCACCAGGAAACAAACTCAGGACCTCGCCCATGCGAGGCAGGCATCGCGCTGCTGAGATGGATCTCTGGCTCCAGAAGTTAAAGAAGCGGACAGTGTTACAGAAAGCAGAAGGGGAATCCTATTTTCCTAACCTACCAGCTGCGAATTTTTGTAGGGTGTCTCCCAATCATTTTGATTCCTATTATTTTTTCACAATTTATAGCCCCCGTCTGATCTTTCTTTTTCTTCATAGACACTGTATCCTAGGCAGCTTCTCGCTCTACGGGCTCCAGTTATCACTTTCAGGGCTTCCTACTACTGCGTCCAACCTGGTGTCTGTCGTAATTCTCAGCTGTTTCCTGACTGCTCCAACATGTTCACGCTGAGAACTCGCGGAAAGTCTACCCTGATTCCAGGGTGCATCCCCATTAGCTCGGAGGCAACCACTCTAGGCGAGGCCGAGTCCTCCTGGAGGACAGAGGGTGACAGGGCGCGCGGGCACTCACGTGGACAGCCAGCATGTCGTGCTCGAAGGCCTCGCGCAGCTTCCTCATGATCTCGGCCTCGGCGCAGGCGCAGGCCTCCACCGTGCCCTTCACCGTGATGGTTCGCTCGGGGTTGTAGATGCTCAAGTCCTGTAAGCTGGCCAGCGGGAAACAGAGAGAAATTCCTTTTGTTGGACATAGGAAATTATGTTCCAGAACAATCACAAAGGAGTTCTGGCAAAGGGGAAGAGAGGACTTCCTCATACATCCTGAATCTTACCAGTGACTGAGACTGTTATCCAGTGGGACATGTTTTGTTTTGTTTTTTTTGTATTTTAGGGAAGGGTCTACAGGGTTTTCAGGGCCTCACTACTAGATCGGACTGGTAGTGATCTGCCTGTTTATAGCTTCCCAAGAGCTGGGATTACAGGTGTGCGCCACCACGCCCAGTCTCAATCGCTGTCTCAGCTTGCCCAGGGGTGGGGCCAGCATGGTAGGCCCGGGGATTGAACCCTCCCCCCTTCACTTGTTTGCAGGTGCTTTAATCCGCTGAGCTATTTGGGCGGCCTTCTGTGGGACGTTTTATTGGCAAGAATGTATCTAAAACTTAAACAGATGAATGAACTGGGCACACCCAGATGTGTGCATCGCCCACGACTGCACCCAGGCTGGAGGGTCGCTCACGAGGAGACTGTGATCTTGGTGCCCGTCTCATGTTCGATTTTCTTCAAATTTCTGCCTTCTTTGCCAATCAGTCTTCCAACCAAGCCATTGTGGGCCAAGATTTTCAGAGGGATCTCTTCAGCTCTAAAAAAGGAGACCAGCGACCATTTAACACCAAGAGAGTCACAGTGGCTACCTCTCAAGAGCCACCACCCTGCTTATCCCTGATGAGTGGCAGCCGTTCTGGCCAGGTACCCAGTGGCCCTGGGACCTGTGGGCAGTTCTCACCGCGCCCCATTCACATAATCTGAACGATAATCATACTTCCTCAGCGTGACTGGTTAGGAGTGGGTTCACAAGGCCGATCTGGCCACAGAGCTGTGAATTCTAAGCAGAACTATCCTATAACCCAACAATCCCACTTCTAGATGCAAAAGAACTGAAAACAAGTTCTTCAAAGAACTATTCACAAGACCCATGTTCACAGCAGCCAACAGCTCAAAATATCCACCAGCAAATAAAGAGACAAACAAACGTGGCGTATACACATCTGCGTGGCTACTATACTTCCCTCTTTAGAAGAAGAAAGCCCAGTGGCGGCCGTGCTGTAACATGGAGGAGCCTCGAGGACAGAGGACAGCATGTCTAGTGAAACAGAACAGTTACAAAAAAAGAATACTGTGTACTCCTCCTGTGTAATGTATCTTCAGGAGTCAAATACACAGACAGGAAGCAGAACTGCTGCTTACCTTACCGTTGGTGAAGAAGGGAAGAAAGGGAGAGAGGGGGAGTTACTGGGTACAGAACTTCTTCAGATGAAAAACTCTGCACATCTATTCCACAACAAGGTGGATGAAATAGTTACACACTACTGAACTGGACACTTAAAAATGGTTAAGATCAATTTTAGGTAAGGTATGCTTTAGCACAATTCCTAAAAGCAGTTTCTAAAAGGTGCAAGGAAAGATGACCTCTTTATCAAGTTGGGAGGATTCTTCTGTGGAGACACAGGTCTGCATCACTACAGCCAGCCCACGAGCACCATGGTAAGGAAAGCCAGACAGCAAAACACGGCAGTCTTTGACCCCATGATTCAGACAACTTGGATAGTATCATGCTAGCTTTAAGACTTTTTTGCTATGTGACACAGTCATTCATTCATTCATGAAAATTCATTCACTCATTCTCACTTCGTAATGCAGGCTGGGCTTGACTTACTATGTAGCTTTGAACTCACAGGTTGGCTTTGAACTCACAGAGATCCTCCTGCCTCAGACTCCTGAGTGCTGGGACTGCAGACATGCACTAACTGGACTGGCTTTTTTTTTTTTTTCTTAAAAGTAATTTCTTACTACTCATATCACTTGTATTTTCTGTTACTGGAGACAAAGGGCAGCTAACAGATACATTGCTATTGTCTCAAAATAAACAGGGTGCCTGAGGAAGCTCACCTAGGCTGTAATTTGCAGAGTGCGGGGACTTTCGCTGGTTTTGTTCACTCAGTAGCTGCTCAGCAGACACTTGGTGAACGAATGAAGAGAGCCCTGAATCTCTGTCCTGCTACATCTCTAACCCTCTACCTACCTCTACTCACCTCCCTGGGGCTGTCACCTACACAAGAAGACCTTCTCTGAAACCCTCTCAAGTCCTCTCCTGTCCCCTCAAAACCCTGATTAGGGCCTCGCACTGCACAGAGCAGCACTCGCGGCGCTGCATTTGATGACTTCCTGGCATAAGCAACGTGTGTCCCTCCCGCTGGAAGGTAAGCGCCGTCAAAGCCAGGCCTGGACCTTGCTCTCGGGGCATTTTTAACAGCAAGCAAAGTGCTCTGCATGATGCAGGCGCTCAGAAAGGTGTATTTCAAAGACCTTCAAACTCTGTCGTGGCTCTACATAAAAACATTGAAAGTCCAACTCACAAATCAGCCTTTTTGACTACTTAGAACTTTGTAAGTTGCTTGCACCTAGGTCAAAGGACCAAGAAAGGTGTTATCCTAGGCCCACCCCAAAATGGGGAGAGAAGGGTTTCCTGAGTAAACAGTGAGTTTTGTCGGGGCTTCAGAAGCCCCCAAGAGAGCAGCCAATGCATGACAGTGATTAGGAGCTCCTGAGCAGGGTCTCTAGCATTCCGCTTTCATCTTCTTAGTTTGCGGACAACCTTGCTTGCCATCGATTGCCAAACTCATTTGATACTTAAGCCAGTGTCACCGCTTCTCTATAAAACTGCAATTACTGCCCACAGATCTTCCAAGCTGTCTTTTAAAAAAACTACACCGTTTGTTCGATTCCCATTCACTCATTTATAATACAAAATCAACTCACTCAGTAAGAACTTGTTTTTGCCATTCAAACCAACACAAAGCTCCATTATACTGCGGACTCTTAAGAAGTATTCCATAAAGAAAAGGCAGCAGGAGAAAGGAGAAAAAAGAAGAAGGGGAGTAAGATAACCACCTGGAAACCATCTCTGGCTGCTGGAGGAAATCAAGTCTAAAAGACCACAAATAGTAGGGAAGCAAGAAATAAAAATCATTTTCCAGAACGGTAAGGGATGGCTTTCAGCGGGTGCGTGTTCTCCACCTACACTGCCCATGAAGGCAGATACTAGTTATATACGTGGCTATTTACATTAAAATTCGTCGAAATAAAACATGCAGTTTCTCCACTGCACCAGTCACATTTCCGGTACTCAGCAGCGCTACTGCAGCAGGGCTACTGCACGGGGTGGGTACAGAAGGCTTCCACTCCTGCAAGTTCTACTGGGTGGCACTTGTGTGAGTGTCCCTACCAGCGGGTGACAAAAACATGAGTGAAGACCAACCACACTGTAAATGCATCCTGCCTGGGAACTGATTTCTTAAGTATAATATACCCCCTTCTTTCCTGAGTAACGGACTTTAAAAGTTTTTGCTTCGCTTTTTTGAGACAGGGCCTCACTATGTAGCTTAGGTGACCTTGAGCTTACTATATAGCCCAGGCTGGTCTCAAACTCATAACGATCCTCCTGCCTCAGCCTCCTGAGTGCTGGGATTACAGGCATGCGCCACAACACTTGGCTCCATTTTAATGTTTTAACACAGCTCCCACTCTTAGTCTGTGGGTGATCTGGGCACTGCATGCAGACTTACAGTTTGGTCTCGTCGGCCTCTTTCTGCATGATTTCAAGGATCATTCGGCAGGCTTCAGACGTCCCCTCTGGGGTGGCATGGATGGTGACAGGCTTCTCTGCAGCCCCAGAGTTCTCCTTTCTGTGGATGTCTACCCTGGAGGAAAGAAGCAGGAGGCGTAAGCACATCATCATCTGGGAACAGACCCTAATCCCACTCCGCTTCACACCAGCTCACGTACAACAAGGCGCCAGGCAAGAAAGCGGCAACAGCTTGCGCGTAACTGATGCCCTCCCCAAGGAGGAGGCAAGCTGCGCCAAAGCGGGAGCCTCCGCAGCTCCTCTTCAAAGAGGACCGTTCTCACCGGAGCGCCGTGTGACGAAGGCTCCACACCTGCCCGGTAGGCAGCCAGTTGGATAAACGAAGTACTTCTGTGCAGTCTTTCTGATGACTGCAGAAGTGAGGAGCAAAGTGGGAGGGGCGAAGCTGCACCCTGGCGTGACACCAGCTCCGAACTAGCTGCATTTGTGAAAGCCATATGCACGCAAATCCAAACAGCAAACCCAAGCAGGCGCTACAGACTCGAGGGGCAGAGCACAGAGGCGGGCCCTGTCTCCGCCTTAGGTCTCGGTTTCCTGTTTGTTAGCAGCCGGCCTTCCTCGAGGCCATTACCACTGACGGCTCAAAAGCATGATGACCATCACACTCACTCGAAGCTGTGGCCCTACTTGTTTATGTTACTGTGCAAAATCATGTAATAGAGCCAGGCATGCTGGTGCACGCCCGTAATCCCAGCACTGGGGAGGCTGAGGCAGGAGGATCGTTGTGAGCTTGAGACCAGCCTGGGATATATAGTGAGTCCAAGGCCAGCCTAAGCTGCAGAGTGAGACCTGTCTCAAAGACAAACAACAACAACAACAACAACAACAACAACAACAACAACAACAACAACAACAAAAACAAACAAAAACCCCCACAAATCATTTAATTGATTAGAGCTCTTTTAACTCTGGCTGTTAGAAAGCCCAGAACCAGTTCTTCAGCCTCCTTTTTAAAAATGGGTGCGTACTTTGAGAATTAATCTCAGGCCTGGGAGATAGCTCAGTGGCTTAAGCACCTGCCTGGCAAGCGCAAGGTCCTGAGCTCAACCCCCAGTACCAAACAAACAAAAAGAATTAATCTCACACTGATCAAACTTGTTCCATTTTTAGGTCATCTTAAGCAATTTTTGGAATAAAAACAGATGCAGATAAAAATATTTTTTCCCATGAAATGAACTTGGTAAGAAAGAAAGCTGATTTTTAAAATAAAAGGAAAAGTCGGTAACTTCACTATTTCATCATTTCCCTCCTAGGATCGTACGCTCAGAACACCATTTTCAGTAGTAAATGGAGGAAATACGGACACTTGGCAGAACACCGAGTCTTCTTTTAGGTTGCCAGGCGCTCGGCGGTGACCTGCAGGCAGGTGCCGGCGCAGGTGCGGTGCTGCCCGTGCTGTACCTAGCTCTGTGGCCGAGGCGCTTGCACAGCCACGCACGCCTTCAGCCCACCTCACTCTATTCACTCTCACAATAATCCTGGCAAAACACAGTAATCTTCTTTTTACAGAAGAAGCAACTGATGCACAGAGAGGTTAGCTTTGCTCCCCAAGATCGCAGTCAGTGGGTGCTCAACTTGAACGTGATGCCCCACTTTCAAGGCCTGTGCTGTGGTTTTTTTTATGCACACCCTAAAGCCACCTACTCCCTAAGTCATTTTATCCACGGGTTCCTTCTACCAGTCCAGCTCCTGGGACACAAGCAGACTAAACGTAAAGCCAGCCTGCCTTCTCCCGTGCTCCACGTGGCAGTGACCCACCACTTCTAGGTGAGACACCGAGGTGGTCTCAAGGCCCGCGCCTCCCCGAGGGCTGTGACTCCGCAGAAGAGCTAAGCCAAGCAGCTTCCAGGATCCCGCAGAGCCCCACGCCTTGGCTGCTCGAGGACTGGATACATCTACAGCTGAGTTAGCTCACAGGAGCCAGCCGTGGCTGTAAGGTCGTCTGCACCCTCCGCAGGAGCCGTTAGCCCTCCAGGGTGTCTCTGTCATGCTATTAGCTTAGAAGCTCAGCATCCGTGGCCCCCAGCTCACCGTTAGTCTGTTAGTAGTCCAGCTCAAAGCCACTGTCCCGTTCAGCACAGCCCCCATAGTGACCTGAGGGTGCCTGAGACCCACCAGCACAGGGGACCCCTCAAAAAAAGTAAAGGAAGCCCCGGAGGCACGTACCGGGACTGGGTCTGCTTAGTGATGTTCTTTATGGTCAAGCCCTCCTTTCCGATGATGGCACCAACAAACTGGGTGGGGACCAGGATCCGCAGCGGGAAATCAATCTGTCTGGCCTGAGAAGAGCCCCCAGGGCCGTGGCCTTGCTCCCGGGAAGAGTGGTCCCCACGCTGGGCTCCCTGAGGGGGCGAAGGGGAGCTCACCTCTTCATCTGGGATGTAGGAAATCTTGAAGGAGTAGTTCTCAAACTGATGCCCACTTAGCTTCTCCATGGCTCTGAAATGAGCAGGGGTGGAAGAGCTTGGTCAGAGAGCAGCATCGCGAATGGCGCTGAGGACCTGCTTGTTCACGCAGTTCGCCAGGTGTTTATGTGGCCGTGCTGACAGGTACCAAGAATCAGCACCACGTAAGACAGGTGCCACCTTTGCTCCTCAGAGCTTGCAGCCAGCAGTTAGACAAGCAGCCACAACACATGGGCTTGGTCATGTTTCAAAAAGAACTCTTTGCATTTGCTTTTTAAAAAGCCATCTAAAGCTGTTGCTCCCTCATCAACAACTCTGCCAATATCACTATAAAGTTATGATTCATTTTTCTAAGTGTAATTCATGTCTATTATTCAAAACAGAAACAGAGAAGCAAATTGAAAAACCCAAACCGTCCTACAGCTTTTCAATCTTGCCTCAATATAAACATGGATTAATATGGTATATAGTATTTTTTAACCTTTAAAAAACTTACTACTCTATCTCGCCACATGATTACATATCTTCGATATAATTTTCAATGGCCGCACAACATTGTCTTGGCTTGGCATTCCAACAGGCTTTGCAAGTGATCTCCCACTGTCACACGTGTGTGTTGTGTCCAGTCATTTCCAGTGACACACAGCGTCTCTGTGGGCAGCTCCACAACTACAACTCCACAAGCAGGATAGATTCCTAGTAGAACTACTGAGTCAAAGAATACTGAATTCTGTCCTTATTCTTAGGTGCTGCCCAGTGATGTTCTGGAGGATTTCAACACTTATTTTCCATAGGAGGTTTTTTGTTTGTTTGTTTTGTTTTTTTTTTTTGCAGAACTGGGGATTGAACTCAGGCTGAGCCATCTCCCCGGCCCTTCCATAGGAGTTTTAAAGGAAGCATCTGGGTCCCCAGTCTTCCAAAGCACAGAGCACTGTAATTTAAAAACTGCTACCGACATAGGAAAGTACAATCGACAGCCCAAGCAACAGAACAGCATGTGCAGAAGTCACCAAAGGGGCAACTGGACACTTTGGCCTGCCACAGTGAGTTGTTGGTTTCAATGCGAAATTAACTTTTTGAAATGTGTTGACATTGGAATGGGGTGAAGTGTGTCTTTATGTGTGTTGGAAACTTATACAAGAAGGACAACTATAGCCCTGGCAAGAACACACAATCAGGGCCGGGGAGATGGCTCAGTAGAAAAAGCCCTTGCCTGGCAAGTGCAAGGGCCTGAGTTCAATCCCCAGTTCCACCAAAAAAACCCAAACCACTCGCAACCAGGGTTATGACACACCCACAGCACGACCACTTGCAGCTGTGGTTTGGTAATGAAGACTTGAGGGGTACTTTAAGGACCTCCCACAGAAAGAAATCCCATAGTTGTTAACAGCTAAACTGAAAATTAGCCACTAGTGAAACAGGGTAGTAATAAACTTGGATTAGGAAGAGAATGGGGACAGAAGGAAAGAACCGCAGCTCTGTCCGACTCCGAGACAGTTCACCCCACTGCTGCGCTGAGGTGGGCCCTTTTCTCAGTGCTGCACATGGGAAAAATTGATGTTGCAGCCTTTTTCCAACAAGCATGGAGAGAAAAGGGCTCATACGCCCCCCTCATGGAGCACAGAGGAACCTCCAGGTGAAAGGATCTGCAAGTGGTTGCCGAAGCGAGGTCTAGAAGACAAGGAGTCACGGAGCCAGTGGCGCTAAGACGGGGCCTCCACCTTGGTCCGGAGGCGGCCAAAGCCCAACGTTCTTCAAGATGAATCTCTTCTGCCCAGCAAACACTCTGGCACAGGAGCGCTGGTGCTCCACTGACATGACAAAGGCGGCAGCAACGTCCTGGGTCTATCCCAATGTATCTAAGTACCTCGGGCGCTACACAGCTCCTTGATACGGTCAGAGGGGCCACCATCAGCCTTGTGGGGCTTTCCAGAAAGAGCTTACGAACACAGGACCCCGTGGGATACCGGAAGTCAACTGGAAAGGAAATGAGCTTGAACCCACTTACATCTTTGCCTCTTCTCTTGTTGCATACGTGACATTGACGACGGCAGCTTCTGTGTCTGTGTTGACTAGGAAACAAGCAAAAGCTGTGTTAAAGAAAGCTGTCACTCCCTCTACCCCCTGTGGCCCAGGGCAGACACATGGACTTTGAGAGGCACGCCCAAAATGCCTGAATTCTGTAGTTGAGATTCTACTCCTGTCATTCACAGTAATCTGCGATCAAGCGTATGTAGCACATTTGTAACCGACTGCATATATTAACACAGAGTGATACTTTTCATTATTCTATGAAGACTCTGGCATGAATATTTATGCATATCTACTTTCTTGGTCATCTCATCTTTAATTCTCCGTAGATCTGCAGTGAACAAATGTGCCATGCTTTGCCGAGCCCCCTCCAAGGGCAAAACTGTTGTCCCAGCATTTGCTGTTCCAACTACTATTGCCAAAAGTCACCTGTCACAAAACCTCATTTGATTTTGTATTCTTTTGAATTACTTCTTTAGGCTAAAATCATGAAAGAAAAAGTGGATAAAAGAAGATGCTTTTTAATGCATGTCTTGAGGCTGCTTTCCCTAGATGTTTTGATAGATACGTACTTATGTACTGGTGGACTGGGGACTGAACCCAAAGCCTTTCCATAAGAGCCACATCCCCAGCTCTTAATGCCAAAACAAGGTCTTACTAGGACACTAACGTGTCCAGGTTGGGCTTGAACTTGAGATCTTCCTCTTTCAAACTTGTAGAGGGCTGGGACTGCAGGTGTGTGCCAACTTGCTTGGCTTGGAGCAATTTATTTTTTTTAAAGTATTTTATTTATTTATTTTTAAAATGTGTTTGATACAGAGTCTCACTATGCAGCTCAGACTCATAGTGATCACCCTGCTTTCAGCCTCCCCAGCGCTGGATTACAGGCACGTGCCACCACGCCCAGTCTTGGGTGCCAGCTCAGCGCGCCTGGGGTTGGGGTCGGTACACCATGTAGTCTGGGGGATTGAACCCCAGTCCCTGGCTTGCCTAAGCAGGCGCTTAGTCTGCTCAGTTATCTTACTGGCCCTGGCTTGGAGCAATTTATTGCACCACTACTAAAACATGGATTTAAATTTCATGGTGTTCTCAATTTGAAAGTAAATGGCTGCATAACTATATCTGTTAATCTGAGCAACAGATTTGAGGATAAAGATAGGTAACAACCATTGTTAATTAGCTATTCCTGTTTTGAACATCTATAACATATGTATTGTATGTTACCCTGTTTCTTTTTTTTCTATTTGTTTTTGCTCTTCAAAATAAAATGAAATTTAAAGAAAAAAAAGTAAAGACAAGAAAATAGGAAAAGGTTTCTTAAAAGCAAGTGCTAACCATTATTTGTCCAATCCTGCATAACTATTTAATCTGAGCAACAGATCTGATGACAAAAATAGATAATATAACAACTATTGTTAACTAGCTCCCCCCCCCCCCCCGGAACCGGGGATTGAACTCAGGCCCTTGCGCTTGCCAGGCCAGCACTTATCCTACTGAGCTATCTCCCTGACCTTCTTGTTTTGAAAACTTCTAATGTATATTCCCCTATATGTTGTCCCGTTTCTGTTTTTGTTTCTGCTATTTGTTTTTGCTCTTGTTTTTATTCTTCAAAAAAAAAAAAAAAGGCCAGGGAGATGGCTCAATGGAAAAAGCGCTTGCATGGCAAGCACAAGGGCCTGAGTTCAATCCCCAGTTCTGAAAATAAATAAATAAAAATAATAATTGAAATGCAAAATAAGAAAATGTTCCAATTGTACACACTAGAATTATTAATTGACATAAAACTGCTTGTATTTATAGCATACATTATGTCTTGATAAACATGTACATCGTGGAATGGCTGGAGCTACCTGCATGCGCTGCCCCATGCGTTACTTCCTTCGGTGAGAACGCTCAGCCGTTCTCAGGCACACGCTGTACTTGGGGCCAACATGACGGACGTACTTTCTCGGTCTTACTCCTTCTAACAAGGTTTACTTCCCCTAAAGCACATCTCCCAAGCCCTCCACCTCCTGCCTTTGGTAATCATCGTTTTAGGAAAGTGCTTTGCGCCTTCATTCATTCAGAAGGTCCAACGAGTGCTCTTTCTGTTTCCACTTGATTGAACGTTCTATCTGCGAGTTAAATGTAATTAACTACAGCCAGAAAACGGACAATTCCAAATAACTCGACTGAAAGGAAAAACATGTGAACTTCAAAATTAGCCAATAATGGGTCACCCTTGTGAGCTGGTCTACCGGTCAATTGTCAGCCTTTTTTTACAGTTAGAAATTTAAAAACTTCCCACCCAGTGGGAGCTACCTGGGGGGCCCACTGAGGACGACACTAAGCTCAAGGCCAGCCTGAGGGACTGAGCAGGAGCTTGTCTGAAAATAAACTTAAAAGGGCTGGGGATTAGCTGAGAGTTCTCTGCATTCAATCTCCAGCCCCCAAAAGTGAACAAATACATACATGAATAATTCTCCAGTTAAAATTTTCTCTCTTTGAATTAGTAAATTTAAACTAAAAATATTTGTTCCCCAAACAGACATGACTACAGCACATCTTCCCTTCAAACAAGCTGCTGGGCCTGAGGTCAGTGGAAGAGAACTTGGCTAGTGTGCTCAGTGGTCTAGGTACAACCCCCAACTCTACAAGAAGATAAGCTGTTGGGAGAGTTGGAATAAATGACATTAAGTTAAAGATCACTCAAGAAAAAAAAAAAATTTTAGTGGGTGTGAGTACTGGGATTCGAACTCTGGACCATGTGCTTTCCAGACAGGCATTGTGCCACTGAGCTGTTTCCTTGGCCCAACTGAAGAAAATTATAATAAAGCTACTTTCCTTTGGACACCTTAAAAATAGGGACTGTTAACCCTGGGTCGATGCTTGCGTTTCAGGATTCTCTAAATCCTTATCCCTCCCCCATATTCCAACTGGTGGAAATGCAAATATTCTTTGATTATTATATTACATGTTATTTATGTATTACTTATTACTTATAATTAACATTTATAATTTCCTTGTGTTTCTCAAAGGGATCTGGGACCCTAAAAAAGTTAAAGACCTTCAGGATAAAAATACTGTTTGTCCAGTAATATCTGGGAGCTTCAGCCTTTAAGGGGATGAAAGAGGACACAGTCCTCAGGGGACACACCGCCTGGGAGACCTGCAGTCACACATGCTGAGCCCAGCCTAGGCTGCAGCCAGAGCTTTCCTTTTGCTAATTCACAGGTAGCCAGAGGTCCTCACGGTGCACAACGAGACATGTGTCCCCAGCCCTCCTCACCCAGGGCGGAATCACGAATGCTACCGATGTTTCCCACCGTGCTCTGAGGGCTGTGGATGGGGCTGTGGGCTCAGACGCTTGGAGGAGGCCAGGCCCGCGCCTCCTGAACGACGCTACCCGCTCAGGTGCTGGGACTCTCTGGTTGTGTTCTCCCTTCTTAGTCACGGCCTCTGTTCCTCCCAGATCCTGTCTTTGGGAAATCAGGCAGTTCCTTGACTCTGGAGCAAGCTGAGCTCCACTCAAATACCTTACTCTGCTGGACATGAAAGCTGGAAGGTTTCCTAAAGCTACCGACCATATTTTCCTGCTGGATCAGGAAACATTCACTACAATGGATGGAACAGTGGCTTCCTGCTTCTCCTCTGCACCTGGGAGGCCACGGGAGGGCAGGCGCAAGCGCCCTGGAGGGTGAACTGCCTTCCCTTGTACACCACTCTCCAGCGTTCATTACGTGGCCTTAGCTGGTCAGCTGGAGGTCCACGTCTGTCAGGCCACCCCGATCGATGAATGGGGAGGGGAATAAGAATGGACAAGACGCCTCTTTTCTGAGCTTCTGTACTTCACCTATGACACAGGCAGGCAGCAGTATGAAGCTGCGTGGTAATATTTTTAATATGTATGGCATGGAAAACATCCGAATAATTACGGTTTTAAAACAATTATATTAATTATACTAGTAGATAGAACAAATTGTAGGAGAAAATGGGTTTTTCATTAATTTTTTCCCTAGTGAACCTTTACAGTAAGTCTCTTAAGATTACTCAGGACTCCACTGTCTATAAGTACTTTCTATAGGTGCTCTTTGGGTGGTACTGTTCAGTGAGACACAGGAAGGGAAGGGATTATTTGCCCCATTTTACACATGTGGAAAATCAGTCAGCGAGGATGAATGATTTTTCCAGGGACTCTTAGTTACCAAACCTTCATTCTACTTTCTAGGTAAGGTAAAAATAATCTCTGTCACTGTGATGGTCTGTGTCTGGATGTCCCCCAAGGCCTCATGAAGTCTTGGACAGGGCTGTTTTGGAGGTGGCTCGGGCTAGAGGGTATGACTGCTTCACAGTACAATGCTGGGATTAGGGGCGCTGGGATAAGGGTGGGCGACCGCTGGATCCGTCCACTGACTGCGCTGGCACCAAGCTAATCTTGGTGGACTGGATAAAGGACAGAAAGAGGCTTGCTTATCTCTGTCTTTCTTGCTTTTGCTGTCGTCTGTCGCCACAAATGGTTGCCCCCCTGCCATGTGTCACCACTCTGCCGTGGGGTCAGCCCATTACGGACTGAGACTTCTAACTTTGAGCTACATTTCAGGTGTCTGTATTTGGTCTCGGCAATGAGAGAAGAGTGATTAAGACAGCTGCGTTACTGCCTTTCCCATCAGACGTCTACTTGTGCAGATCCACTCTTCTGGTAGCTCCCCTACCTTTTAAAAGTGCTGTTTCATGCTTTGGAGGTTACTAATGAGAGAGACCCAAAGAAGAGCAGGTCATTTCTGGGCATCTGCAGCGCTGTTCTGCAGAACAGTTTTCAGGTGTCAATACACACAGAAATACTCCACAATGCTTGACTCGTGAGCTCTCCCCACAGCCGTGGGAGGTCTACGGTGACTCCTGGGATTCTGCTTTGTTCCGAGCACTCCAAAACCTTCCTGCTATCGGGTCCCACTGCCTGGGAAACTCTCAATCCAAGACATCAGGGATCTGTGTTTCTTGGCCAGGAAAAGACAGACAGCAGCAGTGTAAAGCCACAGACTCCCAAGTGACTTGAGCTCTCCCCAGCCCGACAGTGTTTGTCCAGTATTTCTGTTGTTGTTCCTTAAAAACTGAGCTATAGGGACACACAGATACAGATGCAGACGTCTCGCACACACAGGAACTCAGACATGTGCTCTGGGAAGCGTATTTCAAAGAAATACGAAATTTACCATTTTTTCTTAGCGCTGACCCCAGACCATTAAGAGTAACTTGGTGAGCCAGTTTCCTCCCTTATTACCTTGCTCCACATTCTCCACTGTCCCGTACTGAGCCAGAAGTCCATCCAGTACCTGTAAAAGGAAGCTTCAGTGTCAGAAGGGGAAAGAAAGATCACAGTCAGCAGAAACAAACCAGTGCTATCCCCCAGCAAATCAATTAAAGCAGAACAAGGGCAAGTATAGGAACAATTTAATAAAAATGATACTTCAGGGCTGGGGAGAGAACTTGGCAAGCACAAGGTCCCAAGATGGATTCCTGGTACCCTGTGCTGTGCCGGCCCCACCCCAGCCCTGGAACCAGGCCTGGTGGCACATCCCTGGGATTCCAGCACTGAGGAGGCTGAGACAGGAGGATCACTATGAATCTGAGCTGTGTAGCAAGACCCTGATTCAAAAAATAAAAAATAGAAACATAAAAAATGATACTTCTTGTCTTCTGTGACATAACTGAGCATGCACACAGGACTTCTGTTTGCTTACTGGTCCCTACGTCATCTGTTCACTAAGAAAACATCGTGGAATTCACGTTCTCACTAAGAAAACATCGTGGAATTCACGTTCGCCATGAGGGCTGGAACTCACCAACTGCTCTTGAAAGGAGAAGCAGAACAACAGCTAAGGCTCACTTCTCCTTCCTGGGTGATTCTTTCTTCACCTTCCTCTAGGGATTCCCTTATTTTACAAAGTAATGGGATGTATACATTTCAAACTTTCCATAACAACAACAACAAAAATTTGGTACAGTAACAAAAATGTTAAGAAACAACATTCGTTTCAGGATATTTCATTTCTTTTGGGTTGGGCAATAAAACACAGGATAGTTTGTTTTTAACGTAATAAGGCCACTCCCTGCATTCAATCTTATTTTATATATTAAGATAATACTCTTGGAAGTCGTTCTACAGCTTTGAAAGTGTATCTTAACTGTTACTGTGAGCAACTAAAAACAAACAAAAAAGCTGCTCAAAATAACAAAGCACTTTATCTGTTGGTTTTTCATTGATTCTTTTTCTGAGTCATCATTTGGAAAGATTAAAGAATGTTTTACCAAACCAAATCATGAGGTTAAAAATTACAGACCAGGTGAACACTTTGTTTCCCAGCCTACTTGTCGGTGCTTGGTAGCCTAGTACTGGAGAAGCCTGTGAGAGGCCAAAGCTTATTCTACCTAACAACAAAGACAGACAAACCGAAACTCCCGAGAGATCACTACACCAGGGCACTGAAAAGGCACGAGCCAGGACCCAAAAGCTCTGCAGAGAAGTCTAAGGGTCTCTAACTCCTAACCGTGAAAGGGAGCTAAGCAACAGGAGGCTGTCGCGGTAACCCAGTACAAGTGCTGTCGGCTTACCTCCCACTGTAGGTGCGGAGGGATGTTTCGAATCTGAATTTTCCTGCTCCTGTAAAGATAAAAATCAGACTCTGTCACATTCTCTCCAGGACGTCAATTTCAGCAAATAACGAGAACAGGCCTAAGACTAGCTGAGTCTACCTTCTCCCTACAGATGTTCCTCATGAATGACTGAGTTCTAGTCCTGCAAAGAGGTCATTAAATGAACTGCTCACTAAGTGAGAGCGAAGTATGCACATTGCAACACTCAGAACAAAGAACACGTCAAAGGAAACTCCACCTCATGACTCTGCTCTTATTTGCAGCTCTTACATGCAGTACTGTCATGGGTAACAGAGCATAAAATTCTAGTGCTGTACGATGCAGTACGCTCAGCAAAAATTATGGTACTGAATCAATAAGGTGTACTGTACCAAAACCAAGATGCAGTCTTCAATCGAGCCATTAAACACGTCGGTCATTCAACGAGGACTACCTGTATTTACCAAGACATCCGAGAAGATTCCTACTGTGCAGAATGAGCACCATGCTTCGAGTTTTCAGCTACGGGGGGTGGAGGTGGGGGGTGGTTTCTAAGAAACCCTGGCAAGCTAAAGAGACAATTTAAATACAGATTTGCCTTTTCAGTTTCCTACCAAGGTAGTTATACTTTAAGTCACTGTATAGGTTCTGTTTGTGGAATTATCCACTCAAAACACACAGTCCTGCCAATGGTGCCACCGTAAAGGGTAGCAGGTTCTAGTGTGACAGAGGAAATCACATGTTGGCAATTAATGTCAGATCTGGGGCTGGTGAGATGGCTCAGTGGTCTAAAGCACTTACTTAGAACAAGCTTAGCAAAGCACAGGGACCGCGGTTCAATCCCCCAGCACCACATGCCAGCCAGCCCCGCCCCCTGGTGGGCTGAGCTGGCCACACACACACACAAATAAATAAATAAAATTAAAAAATTAATGTCAGATCTTGGGTGCTTCTTGTCCACTGAGGTAAAACTTCACTTAAATATTAGTTGTATTTCTGAATAGGTAATAGAGTCGCAATTCAAAATTACGTAATTCAAAAAGGCCACGAGGGCTTCCTCCCTTCCACCAGAAGTACTTTTATTCTTTCTATGTGTATCCTTTAAGTTGATTGGGCATTTTTGGTTTTTGGTGCTTGGGACTGAACCTAGAGCCTTTGCACTGAGCTAAATACCAAACTTGCTAGGTCACTAAGTTGCCCAGCTAGGTTTGAATTTGGCTATCTTCCTGCTTCAACATCCTAGAGTGCTAGGATTCTAAATGTATGCCAGTATGTCCAGCTACCTTAAGTTTTCTCTATGTAAATATAAACAGAAATCCCCCTTTCTTACAGAAACCTCTGGATACCTTACATACTCCTTGCATCCTGCTGCGCCACCCCTGCCCTTCTCTCCTGGTGGCCCGTTTCCTCATCTATTTCACCTCATATGGGCGCCTCTGCATCCGTTTAGCCCACACCCTATCAATGGACATTTGAGCATTCCCTGTCCTTCTATTCTGAGGCTTTCACCAAGACATCCTGCTGCTTGGCAGTCTTGACTGATTTAGATGCTTTCTTATGCAAACATTAAAATTAGACAGAAAAATAATTAGAATGTAAAACTAAGAGTCATCCTATCTTTTGTTAACATGGTAGGGCCTGGAGAGAAGCCACAGTCAGCAGTTAGAGAGGTCAGGTAGGAGGTTCCATTGAAGAGCAGGACAGAGATTCCGGGCACTCACCGGGTTCTCCAAGAAGAGCCCAGCGCCCACTGCGGCCCTGGCCCCATGTGCTTCCTGCTGGGCTCGCCGCTCCCACCAGGGGCTGAGCACAGCCTCCCTCTTCCCCATGGCTTCAATCTGGGCAACAACCCCAGAGAACAATGCTGCAATTTGCGCAGAGCGAGGAGGCGAGAAAGGTAGAGACAGAAGAACCCAGAAACAATGAAGTAAATTAAGAACTCCTTTTTTCTCAGATCTTTTCTGTGTATAGAACTTGGCACTGATCTTAGGTCCATCATTGTAAGCTACATCTCCAGATGCCTTTTCTTTTCTTTTTTTTAAATCTTGAGCGAGGGCCTCCCAAAGCTCCCCAGCTGGGCTCAAACTTGTGATCCTGGCGCCTCCGCCTCTCAGAGCACTGGGACTGTGTGCACTACCACACTCAGCTTCGATCCTTATTATGACTGCAAAGGGCAGGCTTCCTTCTGGTGTTGACCCCTATACAGTTCTGTTTTATTTTTAAAACTGCAAATGTCCTCCTTCTTCACTAGGGCTGTTTTAATGACTTCCAGACTGCACTGCAGAACCTCCTTGGCACTGGGAACGACCCTGGGGGCTTCACACTGAGCTACATCCCCAGTCCTTTTTATTTCATATTCTGACACAGGATCTCGCTGACTCAGCCGGGTGAGGCTTAAACTTGCGGTCCACATATGGCTGACAACCTCTAAGCTTTTATCATAGTAGAAAAGAGAAAAGAACCACCAAGAATGCATTTATAGCTCTATACCACGAGGCTGTTTTCTGACACAGCCTTTGGAAGGGGCTCATAATAGAACTGCTGACAGTGTTCCATATGGTGGCTACGTGGAAATTTTCAATGGAAGCTTATTAGAAAAGGCATCAGAAGTTTAAAAGAAAATGGAGTATTCCTAAAGCAATACATTTTGTTATTTCCAAATATAAAATCAACTCCAGTGGTAACCAAGAGTTTATGGTATAAGGGCTGGCCAGATAGCTCAGTGGACTAAAGCACCTGCTTAGGCACAGTGCGGTAGCCAGGGTTTGATCCCCAGCCTGCTGTGCCAGCCCCACCCTTGGGGTGTGCTGCGATGGTAATTCAGACTGGGCAAGGTGGTGCATGCCTGTAATCCCAGTGCTTGGGAGGCTGAAAACAGGAGGATCACTACAGGTCCGATCTACAAAGTGGAACCCTGCAGATCCTGTACTAAAAAATGCATAAAAAAAAAAAGAATTTGTGGTTCAAAACTCACAGTAAAGCATGCACAGTTATGCATGTGCACAACTCAACATAGCTAGCTACTGTAGCATTATTTATAAAAGATATGGACTGCAAACAATCTACCATAACACAAAGCATAATGTAACCATAATCACAATGCCATACAGCTGTAAAGATGAAGCGGAACGACGTGTACTGTGCACGAAGCACTCCAAGGTATGCTGTTACCAGAAGAGTTAATTATAAATGTAGTGATCTTGCTTTTTAAAAGTATAAACCCAGACTGTGGTATTAAATCTGCATATATGTAAATGTACAGAAAAAGTCATAAGCTGATCTAGTTGCTAAAAGGGTACTTTTAACTACTATCTTACTTGTTTTTTTTTTTTTAAAAAGGAATATATCCATATCTTATTTTACTTGCTTTAAAACACAGTTAAAACTTCTAGAGTTGTTTAATGAACACAGAAGGTTTATTTTAAGTATCCTACAACGTGCTAAATATAAAGGAGTGACTGGCAGGGGCAGCAACAAGAGCGGCAATTCCTCCCTCTTCCATAACTAGGCGCTCTTGCTGTCTTACTTCACAGAGTGTGTACTTGACAAATCCTTCTTCAAAGTGCAAACGCAGGGAAACTGCTCAGGGCAGGTTACTGTGCACCCTGAGCTCAACCATGGTATCTCCCGCGGCACTTCAGGCAATTCATCTGGTAGCCAGGACGCAAGAAGCTCTGGTGCTAAGCAACACACTTAGGAAAACAAGCTCTAAAAGCGTGACTGCTGTACCTCTGATCCTAAATCGGGACAGAAAGGAAGAAACAGAGCCAAGAATGGACAGGAGACAGGGCTCAAGGCAGCAGAACCCGGCACCTGCAAGGTCCACCGAGCAGGACTGTCAGGGTCAGGAGTGGGCGGGGCCTTGGAGAGCTGCTGACTCCCCTGCAAGTTCTGGGCAGCCGCCTCCTCCTTGAAGCCTGGGAGGCCCTTCCCCTAACCCTGTGTGGGCTTCAAGGCCCTGCACACCCCGACCCTTGAGAGCCTTTCAGAACTTCTCCAGGCAGAGCAGGCACTTGTGATTCTCTCCCGGCTCACCCACACTGTAGGTGTTTATCTGAGGCTGCTGCCCGTGCCCTGGCAGTTTCCTCTAGAAGTGCTCCCTGCCCACTGGTCTACCATTTGGTAGGAGCTTAAGGACATACTGGGAGAACATGAAACCCCAGCACTTGAGAAAGCACTCCCAGGGCTGCCTGTGGTCCGACAGGGTGAGACCCTCCCAACGCCCAGGAAGGCGAGCTGTGGATTTCTCCCCTGCCAGGGAGTCAGCAGAGTGGGCGGAGGGAGCTCTTTTGTCCTTCCCTCAGAGAAGGAACCTGCTCAGTCTCAAATGAGAAGCGTGGATCTTTGAAATCCACCGAAGTGTAACCTGCTTCAGGAAAGCCAAGCTTCCACAACGTGAGGAAAGTGACTGGTTGTAAGAAAATAATTCTTTGTCCCGTAACGAGAAAAAGTAATTCCACACTTCCTTTTTTTTTTTTTTTTTTAATTCCTTCTGTACTACTCTCTATTTTACACTTCCTTTATCTTAAGAAAAAAAATCATGCTTCTAACAAAATATGTCAATGGTGTTTCCCATCCTCCCTGCCCTACTGCAGGATGGCCATCTCCTGGCCGGCCTCGGCCTGCTCCCCTCCTGTCCATCCCTCCCTTGGCCGCAGAGACTTTCTAAAGCACGCTGAGGACCAGTTACTCCTGCCCTGTGGAATGGCTTCCTGTCTACACGTCCAAAGCCCCCTTCCTGGCCCTGGAGTGTATCAGGTGCCAGGATGAAGCCCTCGCCCCCCATGGTCTACCCTATAGGGCGAGAAGGGCCGGGGCTACCACAGCTCCGGCCTGGCACTCACAAAGATCTGGTTCCCATCTCCAGCACTAAAAATGGAAGGAAGAAAGGAAGGAAGAAAGGAAGGAAGAAAGGAAGGAAGAGAGGAAAGAAGAAGAAAAAGGAAGTGAAGAACAGTAGGAGCACACTTTGATTTTTGTTTTTCATTTTTAATTGAAAGCAGACTAAGACCTGAAGTCAAGTGAAGG